TATGTATATAACGGCTTCGATACCTAATTCGAAATACCGAATCATGATTTTATTTGCGCTGTGACGTTACCTAAAATATAAATCTATATTGAACTTATCAAAAATTGTATTTTTAGCGGACCGCATGAGTTTAAGAACGACAGAATTAAGTGAATATGATGCAAGCACAGCGTCCTCTCCCAATCTTTCAAGATATTCCAATCTAAAATTTCAAAAAGCTGGTTGTAAGATGCATCACAATTTAGAAAATAAACAGTTCTAATCTAATACATTCACGATGGACTCGAAGGGTTCGCATCCGATACAAAAGCTATCCAAGATAAGATGCCATTCTGAACTAAAATAAAAGTTTATACCAGCAAAAAATGTTGCTTACTCAAAAAACGGAAAAAGAGCAATTCTCAAAATAAATACGTAGTTTGAATATCACTACACTACTGCGGTGACCTAATATCAACAAGAATTTGATGGATGTGCAGAGTTGAGCACTTCTTACACATAGCTGAAAAAAAAATGACACCACGCACAAATCAAATTTGCGGATGATTAACAATGTCTAATTTGCATTGTGCTTTGAAGTGCTATGACACGACCTCAGAATATTTACTGATGTGTCATCCATCAAATTCTATACCTCCAACTCTCTTTCCACACTGCTCCGGTTCTTGTTCTTATTTTCTTTGTTACTATCAAATTTTAATATTGTTATCAGTTTGAACTCATTTTTCATTTTTACTTCCTCGTTGTTTTGTTATTTCTGTTGTTTTCTCTCTTAAAGAAATCCATATTGTTGTTTTTTCGGAAGTTTGATGATCTATTGCTATTGTATGTAAATTGTATCTCTCATAACTGTGGTTTACAATACATTAATAATGACAATTCAAATGAATATTAAAAACTCAACAAAGGAATACGTGAATTTGAATGGTGTGGAGTGAGCGTGTTGTTTGAAGAGTGAGTAATGGATTAATGGGTGGATTTAAGCAATGAGTTTGAATTTGGTTGGTCACTTCAAATTCAGTGCTTGCTTAAATAGTGGTCAAAGTTGACATAAAAGCAGTTCATCGTATTCGTTCACGTCTCCTCAAACTCAATATAAGTAACATTAGCAATAGATCACTTCACTTCAATTTCTCGCTTGAATTTCACTCCGACCGATACTGTCGTCAACAAATTTAACACCAACCAACGTGCCCTCAGCATGAACAACATTTCTATCACACTATTACGGCAGTTTTTCGCGCTGCTTTTATTACAAACAGGTAAGCAAAACGCTTGCACGAGTATTGAAGTGTTGATTGTAATATTACCAGATAAAGTCAATATGTTATTATTTCTGGTGGAAATACTACCATTCATTGAGCTATTAAATAACTTGCGGTATACTTGATCATTCCCATACGATCTAAGATGATAAGACTAATCGCTATGGGGTTACTGCCCTCAAAGATATTACTCGATGGGTGCGAACAAACATCGCGCATGAGTGGATGAGTACTCGATCAAATGTGAGTTCATAAGTTTCACTGATCATCAACTACTGTTCGTCAATTCGAGTGCACATCAGCCAGCAAGTTATTAAAAATCCAACTCAAACATGCATTGTTCATCGCACCATCAGATCGCATTTTTTCGCCGCTGATGGTATCGATCTGCAAAGCATCATAGTAGTTTCAGTATGTATTGTGTCGACAAGAAACGCATTATCGCCACAACTTCACCAGTGGTTAAGAGCAAGTTACCGAACGAGCAATAACAACACTCAAAATAACCAGTCTTCACTCTCTGCCGAAACTAAAGAAGCACTCTCGATGGTCACTTCTCTTGAAGACAATAATTTGGCATTGGCCATATTAAAGATGCTTGGACTTGTTTCACAACGAAGCATCGAAGACCCAGGTGCGCCAACAATAATTCAGCTACCAACGACACCTCGAATGGGAGTGCGAGTATCGGAAAGGGACGGTTAGCAACATTTTATCTTAGCTCCGTCATTGTTCTTTCAGAAGATGTATAAATGCAAGTCGAAGCGTTATCGCTCAAACTGCGTTTATACAGAAAAACGTAGTTGCTTGATATAAGCTCAAGCCGGAACTGTGTGTGAACGAATTTGGTATCAGAGTGTATCATTTCTAATATAACAAGAGTTAAAAGCAAATAAATTTAAACCTTATTTACTCATGAAAAGAAATCTTCATTCACTCGCTTTGCTGAATTAAAAATGATTTCGAGTAAGTCTTTACGTACACATGCAAACAATCAGAATATTTATTTGGCTATCTCAGCTCACTAAGAGCCTTTTCGTTTGTGTTGAAGCTTAATCGATTTGAACCATGCACAGAGATTAATGTCATCCCAAATTACGATACAATGCGATATGATCACAGATCAAACAAATTTATCGCTTGCGATTCATTCAAGACACTGCAAAACATTTTCATATCATCATGAGGATACTTGAATTCAACTTCTGGCTCAGAAACCGATCCTGTTCCATAAACCAGAAAACCAATCACAGAAGAAAATGAATAGAATTCATTTTAAAACTCTCTTTTCTAAAAGTCCTTTTGAACAGATCGTTTTAAAACATGTGAATACCTTGAAAAAATGAAATCAGCGAATGGCTATCAAAAAGAATGTATGTTAGAAGTGGCGAGCCAAACTAATGAAAAAAACATGCTTTCAAGAGATTATAAACAATGAAAAACGGTTTAATTGGGAATGCATACATTTCAGCAGATAGAACAAAGATGGTTAATTTCGGTGCCTCCTCTACCAAATGTGCTACATTTTTCAATTCTTTCAGTTTGTCCATTCGGTGCCGATCCTCTTCTCTTGTCTGGTGAATATTCATATTGCAAGCCATCACTGAATGGCGCTTGTCCTGTTGGTTTTATATGCGATCAAAGCTTCGTGTTGGGTCGTTCAATTTGTTGTCAGGATTTAAGGAGTCGACCGAGAGGACGTGGCACAGACGAATCGAGTCTTTATTTGAACATTCGCTTTAAATTAGTGAATTTGTTGTTGCCAAAAAAAATATCAAACATCAGCTAATGTAAATTAGTGGTCGCATTCGTGATCAGAACAGAGATGATTTATTAATATGAGCACTTATAAACGCCAGTTTTTAGCTACCAACTCACCGTCGAGTGCTGTGGATAGCACCTGGAACGGTACATCTGCCAAAGGTGTGAATGTTGATGTGATTCAGTCGACAGAATCACCTCGATGGACTCCATTCGCTACAATTACTACACGAAGAACACCTTGGTACATTAAAGACAGGTTTGATACACTTCTGAAAGTATTATGCAAATCTTAGGTCGGTCGTTTTATTTCCTCCAAAAAAATTCATACTTGGTTAGATTGCGAATTTATCAGCAATCATGGATTCAACTCAAATAGCGAATCATGTAAATATTCGATGCACTGTGATAGTACTTTGTTTGATATAATGCTTGCGTAAAGATTCAACAGCATTTGTTGATGGAACTTTACGCATCTATTACCAATACCCGCATCCTTCGGTGTATGACGATCGAGAAGAGAAGTTATGCTCCAATTTTTAATAGTTATTTCTGTTGAAATTGTAATTGGAGCGCTAAATTTGCTTCAATTGTAAATTCGAATTTTTTGTTCGTTTCCTAACAATGTTGAACTGGTTTGAATCAATCGTTCGAAGTGTTCAGGATAGCAATTTTGAATCCTGATGCAAACACTACTAGTATGACCACTCCTTCGAATTACCAGTCAACCACTGCTTCATTTCCAGCCACAGCCACTGCCATTCCATCTCAAATTGAGTAAGCCATTTCTTTCGCATGATGGCCATTTTACGATGAACACATATTATTTCTAGATAATGACCGCTATCAGTATTCTGACGGATATTCATTGCAGAACTTACCATTCCTATTATTATGACATTCATTGCTCTAATGAATACCCGTCGCAATATTGGTAAAGTTCATCATACAACAGTATTATTACAGTTACTGATATTAAGCAATTATTATTGTTACTGTTGTGATGCAAAAGGCCGACAGCTAAATCAAGTTGCAGACTGACTGGAGCTAAGGGCACTGAAGGAAGCTCAACTAAACCGTTTCAAGTGGTATCAGTATTCCAGCCTAAACATCCAGAAACCACAACCGGCGAGCCAACCTCGTCCACGTCAATGCCTGGTGCAGATATCATTGTTGAAATATCATCTACAACAAGTGAACAACCAAAAAAAGCTGAAATAGTAGCAATACCAGTAATAACATCAACGAAATCACTGAATCACTGGGCACGAATATGGACTACAGAAGCAACGCCTCATAGTGCAGTCAACGTTTCAGTCCTACAGTCAGGTAGTATGCATACATTGAATGGCATTCAAATGGAAAGTGTTGCAACGATAACACTGATCAATGATAATGGACGCTTGTTGCTGGTGGATACGGGTGCAGCCAGCGATACGGAACATTTGTTACGAAGTGAGTTCTTAAATTAACTGCTTCAATTCAGTTCGATTATTACCTGCATTGGCAAGCAGGCTATCAAACGTTTCTAACGTTGCTGGCCACAATGCTCGCGTTTCCGTTCGCACTGTTTTAGCCTTGATTGATGCCACCCGGCTGGCTAGGCGAGGAGGCCAAGTGAACACAACCGAGTATTTAATTAGTTGCCGTGAATACTTTGCATAATTAAACGTAGCCAAATACTAATCCAATAAATAATCATAACTCTACAAAATAAATATTCCGCCAATCGCTCACAGCGATCAACAAAACAGCCGCTCGATGTGCAAATAACAAGTAGCAGTTCGATTATATTCAAATATAATTTCCGTTACGTGGGTGATAATAATCTTCAGAGGTCGTTGCAGTTTTGTTTCAGTTGCATTCACATTTCTACGAGTTTGGCTTATTTCAAGCTCAAATTTGTATGCCACACTTGTCAAGCTTTAATAGTTGTAAAGTCTAGACTAAAGCTACCTTCTTCCTATTTGATTAAGTTTCGCTTCAATAAAAACCGCTATTCACTGTTAGTGGCTTGCGTTCTATTACTTCAAACATCTAACATGCAAACAACGATAAATGTGTAAGTGAGTAGCATTAACGTAGGAAGTTTTTAATCGTGATTAATAGCAGAAACAAAGGGTGCATAAGAATATAAACAACAGTCTGAAGAGGGCGTTGGAATGCGAAGTTGATGCTGCGTATATGTCATACTTCTGAGTTAGTCTTTTCAATTCAATTTCATCTTACCTCGACTAGAGAATTCTGTGTTCCTATTTGTGCATATGGCATAAATTACGAGCACTTTCACGCTTAAGGTTATAAGTCCACACTGAATATACTCAAACCCACATCCATAGAATCGTCAATAGATTAAACGAAGGAGACGAATGCACAGCACAACTGAATAAATGCCGCGAGGAGCTTACATAGAAGATGAAGTGTGATATTAGTTAGCTGAACGCATTAGTTACTGAGAGTAATGGACCTGAAAGCAGGATAAAGTGATGCAGTAGAATAAACGTACTGAAGCTGCACATAGATGAGTGATGCTGCATCAAAACCGATGATGATCCAACACATGCGCATTTATTTATTGCTGCTGATTGTCTCCCCACTTGCAGTACCATTCGTTATTTTCACCTCGTCTTATTAGTCTTCTGCTGCTGGATCTTCACGCTTTTCTGCGTCTCACTTAAGCGACATTTCTGCATCGTCATATGCATTATTAGTTCAAAGTAACATACTCGGCTGCACAATCCGTACTTATTGCTTATTGCTTAGTTGGTGCGTTTACTCCTCGACTGTCGCCTATTGCTATTGTTATTATTATCAGTGGCAGTTCGTTATTACCTTACCACCTCTATAAAACTCATATTTTCGTATTGATTTTATCTGCATATTTCCTTCTTCAAATTCAGCGTTCCTCAAGTTGCATTAGCTAGCAAGAAGGCATTTATCAGCGTTAGCATCTTCATTGCTAAGTTTCATTTTACGCCTGTTGCGGTACTGATTATTCGAATTAATGTAACCAGTTCTACCATAATTGCATACGAATTTACCCGACTTGATATAACTAAAGCCGTTTTGATTGAGAAACTGAATTTTGTGTTGTTTGCTTCCTGAAAACAGTTTTGTTCCCAGATTCTTATTGAACGGTTTAGTCAGTCGCTTTCATATTTGGATGAAGAATGATCATTGACTGAAATTGTTTGATCTGTTAATTGATTTATTCACGATTTACATCCAAATGAGCTAACTGATTGGATATATTTATTAGGTCATAATATCTTGCTATCAATCCGGTGTTTCAAACGAACAGAAGTTATTAATGACATTGATGCACCACGCGATTCCAAGTGAAACTTTCCTCCGCGACCGGGAGGAAGTTATTAATACAAACGAATACATCAATAACACGTATCCTAAATTTGTGCTTTCGGAATGCATAACTCCGAAATGAGACTATAAATTTGAAGCATTATTCATCTTTTAGTTACTATTAATTTTGACTGCAGTTTTATCCGTCTATTCAAAGAACATTGTATCGATAAGTAGTATTTTCTCAATTTTTAGTGAATTTCGCACTTGAAACTTTTCACTACAGTCAAAAAATGTTGCTTGTAGATAAAAGATTCATGGGTGATTGCATAGGATAGGTGAGATGAACTTGCTAAACGGCTCGATACTTAATTCTTTTCGACTAGGAACCATTTTAGAAAGAGTAGAATGTCAGCAGTAAACGCAAAACAAATGAACCATTGGTGTCTATAGATTTATTTGCTACCAGCAATTCAGAAAATATAATCATCGAACTTAATGTCTTTCTCATCTGTAAACAACAACAACAACACTAGCACGACGAATGAGACATGCTATAAATGTAATAAAAAATGTGCGGCATTCAGTGTTTCTTTGGTGGATATGCTATTATTTACTATACCACTAATCAAAGGCGTTCATCTCTATATTCATATCAGGTGAAATATTCGATCAAATTATACTCACATAAACACTATTGTTTCAAAGTGAACAACCACTTGCTGCGGCCCTATTTAAAAAATTTTGAGCGTCTATGAAAAGTTTACATATGCCTACATTCTCTTTAACGGTGGATAATACGGTCGTAGCAGAAATATTTCCATAGTGCTAAGAAGGATCGATTTATGAAGATTATGAAAAGCGAGCATAAAATAAAAACAAATAAAGCCGAAATGTATGAGGAATACGACAAATTCTTTTGTGTTTGCTAAGTTCAGTTCACGGAAGAAATTTCTCCTCACTAGCAGGTATTTTGGGACCGCAGCTAAGAGTTGTAGTGTTACTTTAGATTGAGATTAAGAATGCAATCCACAATTAAAAAACAATGAGATTTATCCATACACTTATTCGATTGTTAATAAGTGACTGAATGAATTGACCCAATCCAGATCGAATGCATTAGTGACAGCATGGTTGGTCGCATCTGCAATGCTTTACATTCTGCATTTGCTATGTGTTCTAACAAACTGCTGTGGCGTTATTCGTGAACGACCTTTATGGATGGTTCCATCAATTGTACTCAAATCTATAACAGTTATCATTGCATCATTCACTATACTTCTTATTCTGTATTTATTATGGACTGACTCAACAATCACAGTAACTGTCAAAATTTTGCTACTCACTCAAAACGCAGCTGATTTGGAAATGAATTATCCAGCAAGTCATTCGAACACAATGATCATTGGCAGCATTCTTATAGTAGCTGTACTGTTGTTTACCGCATTACAAATATGGTTCTTACTCATTCAGCTGGACTGTTTCAATTTAATTGAACGACATCACGTACAGCGTCGTATTGAGCGATCTTTCAATAAATATCAACATTCAAAAAATCAGCAAAATTTACGCAGAGCAGAATTTGATTTTGAAGCAACAGCTCTTAATGATCACTATCACAACTGCCATCATCATCAGTATCATCACCAGCATCAGCGGTTTAGCATTCTTATTTGAAATGCACCGATGAGGAATTAGAGAATAAAACAACAATGAGGATGTGACATTTACCTCTCGATAACATTGTTAGTGCTCAATTGGATTATATTTTGCAACGAGAAATGCAATTTCGAACCACATGTTTCAATCGAATTTCACAATTTGTGGCTTTCAAACAACATGCATGATGTGGATGCACACTGTTTGCTACTAAAATGTAACAAAATCGACTAGTTTCTGAAATCACTAAACTCACACCAGTTGGTCTATTTGACTGGTCAAAGACTAGAGACGGTTCATAATTTTCAAAAAAAAAATTGCTGAAATTCTCTTGCATGCAGGTTTGGCAAAAGAATCGATAACATTAGATGAAATTGATGTGGTTGTAATTACGAATGGACATCCCGGATATATTGGTAATTTGAACTTGTTTGGGCGAAAACCGATTCTGTTCCATACACTGGAATACGTTGGGAGGCATGTCAGTGCGACTGAACTCAAAGATGTGCGTTTACCTTTTTTGAAACACCATTATGTGAGTTCGTTTTGTAGATGGCGAATGAGTGTATAATGAAGAATGGTTGGAGAGAAACAACTTTTGATTGATGAACGGCTTTTTTAATTAATAATAACTTTCAGAGACCATATCGAAAACTCTCAACAAACGTTGAAGTGTGGAAAACACCGGGCCAAACGCAACAAGATTTAAGCGTTCTTGTATATAACGTTCCCGGATATGGATCGATGGCTATTGTCGGTGATCTCATCCCGTCCGAAGCGTTCTTCAATGAAAAAGTTCTTTTAATTATCATTATTAGGATTCTTATAGCTATCAGCATTAGTGCTGTGTACGATTGAAGCATGTATATCGAATCATCAATTTTACTTCAGACTGATCTGATGATCGATGAAGGAGTTTGGGATGCAGCATCAAAACGTCAAAATGCGAACTTGATGATTTGTATGGCTGATTGGATAATACCAGGACATGGACAACCATTCCGAGTTCTACCACAATATAGGTTCATTTTTTATGCACACATCTAGGATAACAACACAACTAGAGTAACACCATCTTGCAACTTAAACAAATGATATCGCATTCGCTCATCCATAGTGTCGAGAAATATAAACAATTGTGTTTCTGTTCCGTTAATTGTTTGAACGTTAAATTCCATAATAATATTTCAGACAAAAGGCCGGATGTCATCGTATTTTGTCCAAGCAACGTAAAGTGCACTAATTGTAAGTATAACGTAATATGTTCGGTTGCATCAACTGCTGTATTCATCGAATTTTACAGTTCTTTACTGAACATTCTCAACGATACTTCAATGCTACAGTGATAATCATTACCACTGCTATTGAATCGAAGTAATTTCTACCATAATAAATACTCATAATTGTACAACTGAGAGATCAAAAAGCTGTTTTTGACAATCCTAATTGAGGAACCGAATTGTCGATTGAAATATGATTACAAAAAGGTTCGCAGCGACAACCACCCAAATAATGTTGATAACGATGATCCTCAAAATATCGTAATGATAATACTCCGTTATGCATTGTTGCCATAATTAATAATTTTGAGTGCCTTTTTTCTTTGCTATATTTATCAGTTGCTTTAATGTCAGCTTTACCTAATAAATGTTTGCTTCGTTTGAAACACTCATAGACAGAATGCGTTATTCCTTATCACATAACTAGATAACTTGTTGTCTGATATAGTATTAATCTAACGGCGTCAAACAACAGAAAGATTCGAAATGATTTTACTGGAATGAAATAAAGCATCAAACAAATGAAAAAACAAACAAAAAAAAAACAACAGAGTATCATTTCCATATTCAATTCGTAAAACAATAGATCGAAACATTCACTCATCGCATCCAGAACAAATGTGTAGTATATCTGTACTGATTGCGAATGGCTCATTTTGTAAGTATTCATTCAAAAAACAACATAGACTCAACTGTTACGCTTTGTAGCACTGTTCTTTCACGATTCAGCGCACTAACTCAATTAAAAACGATAAACAATCGAATAGGCGAAGAATTTTGAAAATTCTGAACAAAACAAAACTATTCATGACCATCGCACAAAAAAGCCCAATCACAATTCCAGTCAGCTTTATCAATGATAATGTAATACAACCAATCACCAATATTACGAGAGGAATCAATTAATGAAAATTTCGAAATAAAACTGGAAATTCCATTTATTCATACTTCGAAGAACGTAGAGCAAAATCAGTCAACCTCGTTGTAATTTGTTCAAAAATGCCCTTATGATTCTTTCTCGGTGTTTTCTGTTTCCATACAGCGATTCTGCTCAGTCGAATTAGTCTGAAAATCACATCTTAATGATGAAGTAACTTCAAATTTATTTCGCTTTGAAGTTTTAATGATGAAATAATGAGACTGTTCTTTTGAAGATATCCAATCGTGAGCCTATCAAACTCATCTCGCAGTTATCCATTCATCTGATCAGCACTTTTATTTCGAGAGCGTTACTCTGTCAGCGAACCGCAAATAACAATTCGTTTCATGCTATGTAGTGACCTGATTTAAATAGATAACAATCACAGCAGTAAGAACAATAACAACAGAATACCAATTACTCGCATTTCCATATTTATTCCTACTGAATGTCGTTCAAATATTACTGCTTATAGCCATTTGAATATACCTGCTTCGGAACGTCTCAAAATTTTAAAAATGCGTGAATCAAACGATGATGACAACAAAGATTAGCATTCAATTTCTGTATCCATCTTCAGAATGAAAAAAAAAACAACAAATGAATCAATACAGAACTTGAATGCGATAAAACTAGCACATTAAAAATGATTATGGCTGCATTTACCGATGCAACATCTTCGCATGAACCAGAATTCACGGCAAATTTAACTGAGATCACGAGGAAAATTGAGCTCATTAATTATTCGATCCACACCAGCTCATTAATAAATGTTACGCATAAAGCTGCGGATCCTTATCACAATGCACAACAGAAACGTACTTAATTAAGAAATAACTTATGAAACCACCACTTATGATTTATGTTATGCTCACTGGATGATTCCCTTCCGATAGAATATCATTATATCGATCATTCAAGAAGAACACGGAAAATACCTAGAATATTAAGGAAATGAACAAGGATTGTTACCTGCTGGATCGAATTGGAATCATTTGAATTATCGCTTTCATTCTTACTTGTATCATCACTTCCTTCATGATGATCCATCATCTCCTCATCTTCATTCTCGCTCGTCTCAGCTTTTCCGTCCTCATCTCCTGCACCGTTCACCTCTCCTCTTTGTTCTTCATTGCTTTTCTCATCTTCTGTTTCTTCCACAAACTTATCTTTTTCATTCGCATTCTCTTCACTGTAACCAATCATGGATGACAGAGAAACAATGATACCATATATATATATATAT